ACACTAGTATTTCGAAAATTTTGATAACATGCTAATTTTAAAAAATTTTCCAACGATTATATGCTAGCCAAATCAATAAATGGCATACATCATCTCGAAACTCGTTTTAAGAACTATATCATAGACATATCAAATGATTCAAATAGATATCGAAAAATAATTAAAAGTATATCAAACATGCATTTTAAAAAGAGACGTCTAACTTGTTTTTTTTTTAATTATTTCATTAATATTTATTAGTTTTATGCGACAAATTTATCAATATAATTTACATTATTTTATTAGAAAATTTTACATGAGGTGTGATATCAAAAAAAAAAAATTTCAAAATTTTACATTTTAAATAGTTATATCACATGTAAGTTTTCGGATGTAAATTTACATGAGTATAATTTTTTTTCGAATGTAAAAATTTCCACAACTTTTTTGCATGTGTTTAGTGTGTCCCCTAGCTCAAAATGTCTGCGTCCGTCACTGGGAGAATATATGGTTAAAAATGAAAAAAAAAAAATTGGGCTTATGTGTAACATTATTTTATTAAAAAATATATGATTGAAAATGGAAAAAAAATGTACTAAAGTTTTAATGGAGCCCAATCAGGGGTTTAGCCAAATAAACTTATTTGAAATATAACTATTTTAAGAAAATGAGTAATTTTGTACAAATCGATTCGATTCGACTCGACTTTAAATTTATGTGATTGAGCCGAGCCCCAGTTTATCTATCATTTTTCAAAAAAAATTCTTTTGAAAATTCATTTTCAATCACACATTTTCATTTTAAAATATTTTGCACGTTAATTCAAACTTTTCCCTCAATCCCTAATAGCACATTTAAAAAAAAAAAAAAAAAAATATTTTTAAGTATTGTAAATTTTTAAAAAAAAAAAAANAAAAAAAAAAAAAACTATTTTTAAAGGATATCAAACGGGGCTAAAATCAAGTCCAACAAGGTCACACACTACCGTTGCTATGTAACAGTGTGTATGCAGTAAATTGCAGCAATACATGTATGTACGTATTCAAATTCTTCAATTATTCCCAAAAATTCTGGCCAGCCAACCACTGTACATTCAGATCCAATTAACCATCTAATTTTAATTACATCAATGAACTCGGGTTTTTCGAATTCAAATCTAATAACGATCCAATTGTTCGCACTGATTTGAGAAAATTTGATTTTGAATTTCACAATGCAAAGTTCATCTGGATCGCCAGAGGCAATTCTGGAATGGCTTCAGAAAGAAATGGGCTACCGGCATTTAGGGCCGTACGCTTCATCATCCNGAGCGCCAGAGGCAATTCTGGAATGGCTTCAGAAAGAAATGGGCTACCGGCCTGTAGGGCCGTACGCTGCATCATCCAAGGCGGCCTCAATGCCGACCGCTGACTCTCTCCGGAAGGTTTGCCGCGGGAACATGATCCCAGTCTGGAACTTTCTGCTAAAGAGGGTGAAGTCGGAGAAAACGGTTGAGAATATTAGAAGGAATATTCTTGTTCATGGCGCGGATGGTGGTGGTGGTGGTGGCAACGATGTGAAGAACAGTAGGGGGAGGAGTAAGGAGAGATTGGCAGCAGGGAGGGAGGGTTTGGCGGATAGTAGTAGTAGGGAAATGGCATTGCAGGAGAGGGAATTGGCAGAGAAGGAAGTGGAGAAATTGAGGCAGATTGTGAGGCGTCAGCGGAAGGAGTTGAAGACGAGGATGTTGGAGGTTTCAAGGGAGGAGGCTGAGCGCAAACGCATGCTGGATGAGCGATCTAATTATAGGTTAATTGTTTTTCATCACTTTTTGCAATTCTGTAAGACCTTATTGCTTCTTCTTTTTCAGTCGTTAATCAATGAGGTAACCAATCAATACGACGATGATTTTTCTCACTTATTTAACAGGTGAATAGTCAAGGTTTAATAGATTGTAAGATGTGAATAGGGCAACCGGGGAACTGAAATTATAAAAGATTTTGAGGAGATGAGCAATTCCCATTCTAAAATAAAGTGGATTCTTTTGGTACATTTATTGTAATGGATAGGTCTGGCAGTATAATAAAGAAGATTTTAGCTTATTTTTTCTTTTTACTATTGACTAATACTTTTAGAGCTTGTTTGAGAGGAACTAAAATCCAATTAAAATTGAAAATATAGCTGTTATTGGGTCCACCCGTCTAATAAAAGTCAACAATAACGGCTAGTTTTTCAATTCTAATCCGATTTTAATCTTTTTCTCCAAGCATGGATATGTTTGAACCAACTATTACATGGTCAAAGTGCAAATATTAGTTGGTTATATTTTGCCTTCAATTTTTACATATGAATGAAGGGTGTTCTAGAGGAAGTGGAAAAAACTGAAGATTTCACATAATTCGAAGCTTAAATTGGGCATGAATGTATACTTTGTTATTTGACCTGATTATTAGATTGTCCACTCCACAAAGAATAATACACTTGTTCATGTTGGATTTTGTTAAAAATGAAAAATGTGGTTAACTAGTTAGAAGTCAAGATTGAATTGGAAAGGTTATATCCAAATTCTTACAAGTGAAGAAATTAATACCATATTGAATTACAACATGCAGGCACAAGCAGGTAATGTTGGAGGCTTGTGATCAACAGTGTGATGAAGCCGTCAAGATATTTGCTGAGTACCATAAACGTTTACATTATTATGTTAACCAAGCTAGGAATGCTCAGTCATCAAGTGTTGATTCTCATGATGAAATGGTTACCAGTTTCCATGTAAATAACGAGAAAGAAGCTTCAGCAGCTCTTAAAGGCGTCAAATCTGCAGATGGCGTCATACTTATTGAGACAGGGAGGGAAAGAAATATCAGAAAACTGTGTGAATCCCTTGCGTCTCAGATGACTGAAAAGATTCACAGCTCTTTTCCAGCTTATGAAGGAAGTGGGATTCATACAAATCCTCAGTTGGAAGCTGCAAAGTTAGGCATTAACTTCGATGGTGATTTAACCACTGAGATTATAGATGTGATTGTAGATTGCATAAGAAGTCCTCCCCATTTACTGCAGGCGATCACTTCGTACAGCCAAAGGTTGAAAGCTCTGATTACAAGAGAAATAGAAAAAAATGACGTTAGAGTTGATGCAGAAGCATTAAGGTACTTATATACTTGTCCTTCTGGTGTGTTCTCAGCATAATATTTTTTTTTTCTCAATTGCTTACTTAATACAATTTAAATTGTAATGAAAGGTTTGTAAATTACGTACCGAATCTGCCTGTGCTACTCTTTGTTAGTCAGTTCTCTGCTCACACTCCATCATATTGCACCTCTGTATTGCTTGTAGAAGCATTCCTGTTCTGCAGGTTATCTATGCTGCTGTCATTATGTTTGGAAGTCTATGCTAGCTTCCATCTTTTTGATTAATTGAGGTGTTTTCACATATTATAAAGATAAAGCAGTGCACTTGAGAAATTCCAATCATATATGTCAATTGGTAATGATGGATGCAAGTTACTTGCCTTGATTCCATTTCAGTGAATGAGCTCTTAATTGATATATTTTGTGAGCCATTATTAATATGATTCTCTAAATATTTGCAACTACTGTTTCTTATGCTTCATGGTTGTTTTTCTTGACGTGGTAATATGTGTTACATACCTCTCGAATTATAATCAAGAAGCCAAGAAGGTGACATTATTTGGTTTCTGGGATTATTTATGTGATTTATATTATAGTGAAGAAGCAACTTAGAATCTAGAAGTTTAACAGGAATAGAATTTAGATGGAAGTCACCGGCATACATAGAATACCCTTTAATTGAAGTACAAAAATTATGGTAATGGGGTCACAATAGAATGTATATTGTCCTCGAAAATGACCATTTTAAGTATTTAACTTTGATTTATAGTAAGAAACGAAGACTTGAAAATGATCTACGCATAGAGTAACAGTGGTTAAAACACTATGGAGAAATACTACAAAATTTTATGTAATCGGAAGATAACAAGTTAAAAGGCAAGTTCTACATGACTATGAGACCAACTATGCTTTATAATACTAATTGCTGGGTTGGTGAAAGTCAATGTGATGGAGATAGAGATAAAGTATAATTAGGATTTTAAATAGAGTTCTATTAAAACTATGATTATTTTAATTAGATTAGATTAATTTTAATAATTCAATAAAGTTCTATTTTGTTAGAAGTTTGTTCTAATTTAAAATAGAGTTCTATTAAAAGCATGTTTTTCTTGACGTGGTAATATCTGTCACATACTTTCCAAATTATAATCAAGAAGCCAAGAAGGTTACATTATTTGGGTTTCTGGGATGATTTATGTGATTTATATTATAGTGCAGAAGCACCTTAGAATCTAGAAGTTTAACATGGTTAGAATTTAGATGGAAGTCACGAGCATACTATAGGAGTTTTTAGGCTGAATGCCCTTCCCTTCTCGGATTCTCACATTATATAGAAATGGAAATATGTACATATATAGTATGTGATTAACCTAATGTGGTAATGTATAATAATGGTATAAAATCGTCCTAAATTGGTAACTACAATCGGAATATAATCTCATTGACATCCCCCCTCAAATTGATGTTGGACGATAAAAAAACATCAATTTACTGACAAGAAACTGATGACGTGGTTGAGCTATCGCCTTGGTGAACAAATCAGCAGTTTGAGCATCAGTTGTGACATGGGGAAGTAGTAATAAGATGACTATCATAAGCTTCACGTATAGAGTGATAATCAACTCCAATGTGCTTAGTGCGTTCATGAAACACTAGGTTAGCAGCAATCTGAATGACACTAGTATTGTCAGCATAAAGAGGAGTAGGCCAAAGTTGAGGACAACTAAGCTTCGCGAGAAGACCTCGAAGCCAAACAATCTCAAATCAAATAGAAGACAAACTAACTGGAAGATTTAGAGACACAATCTTGCTTCTTACTTCGCCATGAAATGAGCGCACCCCCAAGAAACATACACCATCCGGTAATTGAGCGAGGAGTATCTACACATCCGGCCCAATCAGCATCACTATAACCAACCAGCTCAAGAGTAGAATTGGCAGGAAAGAAAAGACCCCGATTAGGTGTACCCAGTAAGTATCGAATAATGCGACAAACTGCGACTAAGTGAAGGTATCTTGGAGCGTGCATAAACTGGCAAACTTGTTGGACAGCAAAAGAGATATCTGGTCGTGTAATAGTTAGATAATTTAAACAACCAACCAATTGATGATATAAAGAGGGATCAGGAAGAAGATCACCCTTCTCCTTGCGATATTTCACATTTACCTCCAAAGGAGTATCAACATATCTACCATCCTGAAGTCCAGCTAAACTAATCAACTTATCTGTATACTTATGTTGATGTAGATAAGTCTCGGTTAGACTCGAATGCACCTCAAGACCTAAGAGATACTGTAAAGGCCCCAGATCCTTCATATGAAAAGAAACCTTAAGTCGGTCTTGAAGATGAGATATCAATCTAGAGTCAGTCCCCTGTAATAATTATATCATCCACGTAGACAAGAAGAAGCACCATACCCGCCTCGGTGTTGGAAATAAAGAGAGACGAATCATATTGACTCTGAGTAAATGAGAAACCAAGAAGAGTGGAACGAAATTTGTCAAACCAGGCGCATGGGGCTTGTTTCAACCCATAAAGTGAGCGTTTTAGCTTACACACATCGGAAGAGGGCAAAGAATAGACCCGCAGGTGGCGTCATATAAATCTCTTCCTTAATGTCACCATGTAAGAAAGCATTCTTAACATCTATTTGCTGTAAAGACTATCCCTTGGAGGCAGCTATAGCAAGAATGATGCGAACGGTTGTCATTTTGACAACAGGTGCAAAAGTCTTCTCATAATCTACCCCATATTCTTGATGATTACCAAGAGTCACCTATCGAGCCTTATAGCAGTCAAGTGAACCATCAGAGCGTAACTTAACAGAGTACACCCATTTACACCCAATAGGCTTGATTCCAAAAGGACAAGGGATAATATCCCATGTGTGATTTTCTTGAAGAGCTTAAAGTTCCTCCTGCATGGCCTTGTTCCAACAGGGTTGGATAACGGCCTGAGAATAAGAATTAGGAACTGTAATATGAGATAAGGTTGCAGAGAAACCATACCGAACAGGAGGACGAGTAATGCGGGTGGATCGCCGAAGAGCATCAGAGTCTGGGATAGGATCGGGATCGGGCAGTGAAGTTGGAGGTCGTCGTCTCTGATATATCATACCAAGTTTAAAACGCTCAATAGGATGAGAAGAATCCTAAAAGCTAATGAGTTGAGCTAAATCAGAAGATGGCAGATATTGTTAAAAGTAATACTGATTCTCAAAGAAAACCACATTGCGAGAGATACGGAAGCGATTAGCAACATCATCATTGTAGCGACCGAGAAATTTTAAATAATATAAAATTATTATCTTGAAAAACGTGTCGCTAAGTTTTAACCCCAAACTTTAAAGTTAAAGCGTGTTCGTCTAGCCGTTTTAAAACCAATTTAAATCCATTCAACTCAAATTCAATCTCGAACATTTTAACGTATCAATTTTCTTATCATTTTTAAATCAAGATTT